AGTCCCTATGTCCCTCAAACTAATTTTATACAAAACTCTAGTTCGCTCAAAGCTCGAGTATGCTGCAGCAATCTGGGATCCCGGCCAAACGACGCTCATGAATAACATTGAAGCCGTGCAAAATCGTGCGGTGCGTTTCATTTTCTGCAATTATCACCGCACTGCTAGTGTATCATCTATGAAATCAACTCTATCTCTGCCTCTTCTTTCACTACGACGAAAAATATCACGCCTATGTCTGTTTTTCAAAATGTATCATTCTAACGCCTCGCTGAAGGACAAACTACTTCTGAGCCCATCTTTCATTTCTCCCCGCATCGATCATCGCTTCAAAGTCGGCATACCTCTTTGCAAAACCTCGGCATACATTGACTCCTTCATTCCTCGAACGTCCTCCGATTGGAACCACCTTCCCGCATCTTTTGTAAACATATCATCAGTTGATTTATTTAGAGCTGCATTAGTTAATCATTTTTGCTAATACATATTAGGCTGATCTTCTCTCTAGCAGAAGTGCATTGTTGGCCTTTGCTTTGCTTTTTTATGTTTTTGCATTGTTGTTGTTCTTGTCCACCCCCTCTGTAATGCCCTCTGGGCCCTGAGGGTATTGAAATAAATAAATAAATAAATAAATAATCACCGAATAGATCGATCTCACCGAGCGTTCGGTGCATCACTGACGCCGCCTTAGCTTTATAATTGACAGGAGACAGGCGGCAGTGCACACGAGACGTTTCGTGCCGTCTCGTGCTTTACACCCGCGGAGCTTCGCCGAGGTTGTCGCACGTGCAGAAAGACTACAAGTGGGCGCCATCGTGGGCACCACTGAGTGCACTGGGTTCACTGCTATTCTTAATTGAAGAATTTCGGTTAATGGGGGGATCGGTGGCCGAGTGGGCTGAAGCGCACACCCAGCTCGACGCGCGTGGAGCGAAAGCTCGCGCTGCAGAACCCAGGGATCCTGGGCTCGAGCCCCACCCCTGCCCGTTTCGACGTGGATGAGCATCGTACCGGCGTGCGGTCGTGTATCACTACTGCGTGGTGCACGTTAAAGACCCCAGGCTAGTGGTTGTACTGCACTGGCTAAATTGCTCATCTACAGCGTGTGACTCGTCGCAACTTTAAAATGGCAGACCAACTACACGCTGTATAAATATCCCCACAACCCCAATTATTATTATTAATTTCGGTTAATCGTCCTCCCGTAGGAGATTCGGTTCGAGGATTCCGCCGTAGAAAACTTGTAGGAATAAAGGGCGTCATTAAACAAGGAACAGAAAAAAAAAAAGAAGTAAGGTTACGTATACTTTTACTACTTTCAAAAGTAATCGGATTATTGTTTTTATTACTTCGTATTAAATGTAATAAATATGATTACAAAATTACTCTAAAAACTAATCGATTAGAAGTAATTTGGTTACTTGTATTCAGTATACCGTCTGTGGCATCCTTTTCTGCCCCGAAGGCTATACGAGTGACATAGCAGGCGATGTGATTTGCCAGCTACTACGCGCTTCTGAATATATAGTACGTTGTACCGATCCTAAATTCCAGCAATGGAAATAATAATAATAATAATAATAATAACGTCCTGTAGCGTTTCGAATGTTATAATCGTAAAGGGCTGCAAATATCGGAGATTATATTACGACAAACCCTTTCTGTTTTGACGGGAAGCCACAAGCGCGAACTGATCGATGTACCACTGTATTCGCTTACCTTTTTTGTCTTTTTTGTTTTCTCACAAAGTTAAGTATAGAACGACTGACTAATGTCCAAATGCTACTGAGCCTTGAAATAGTTTACGTGCCGGATATAAATCCACCGGGAAAACAGCTGGAATAGGCCAAAGCTACACTGCTTGATTTTATGTTTTCTTTGTTGTATTTTAAACGAAAGCATGCTTCGGCTTATTTTTCCCGTCCGTGTCGTAACCGCCTGCAAGTTATATAATTTGCCTAGCCGTAGAGCTTTTGTTGCGTGCTGCTTTGTGTCGCTACCGAGCCCAGCTGGAAGGATGTTCGTTTGCCCCGACACCAACCAGTAAAGAAAAAAAAAACGGTTTGTTTAAAAGCCACAGATGCACTTCACGGAAAATGCGTCTGTTAATATTGAAGCAACCAACCAACCAACCTCGCTAGATGTCGTACTTTTATCACCCTGTATGTACAGATACCATTGTATTATGCTTCATATATCGGCTACCATCGATATAATGTCCCGAGCACTCACAATTCCACCAGACTTTGTCCGACATTTATCTTGAAATTATTATCCTAATTCCCTCGCTATTCCCTCTCTACTTTTTCTTTTTCTCCCCCTCTTTCCCGGCAGCTATTTCACATTTGACTTTAGCTGCACAATATTTTTTTTCCCCCAATGGGAGTTTACATCTTTCTCGTTTCAACGTCGGCCGTTGTGTGCAAAGCTGTAGCAAGCCGCGTTTTGCTTTCTACTTTTTTTTTTCCTGTTCGGAAACGTCTTTTTGCAAATTACATGCACGTAATCTTCAAGAATATTTCAAGATTAAGGAAAGCCACAGAGCGTTAGCGACCCGGTTAGCCGAGCACGCGATTTCCACTTCGTGTGTGTGTGTGTGTGTGTGTGTGTTTAAAGTGTTTTTTTTTCTTTCCACGACTTAAAAATTGAAATTTAATCTACCGGTGAGACAGAACGCGCGATATTCCACTTGTGTCGAACAGCTTAACGTTCGACGCAAACCCGTATACAAGTGAAACGCAACAAAGCGTCGATAGACTGTCCATTAATTCTAGCGATGTAGTGCACCTGTACTGGCTAAGCCTCGTTGCAAAGAAACCTTGCTTTGTTTACGTCATTATACATTGAGTGCGCGAACGAGGCAATTACAGACCATTCAAGCTCTCGATGTGGTGGATTTGGTCAGTTCGTCGCTGTTTCCGTATCATGTAAATCTGAAAAGCTCTTTGGCTGCTGCTCGTTCTGAAGGAAAGCTATAGTCTTCAGCTGTATATGGCAATCCGCTGTGAATTGTGAGAAATATGAGAATTTTGTAGAGTGCGAAAACGTATAAACGGGATTCCCTCCCCCTTGCCGCCCTCAATTTGGACGTCACCGTAACCTGCACACTTCCTAAAGTTGGACATCTTGGGCTCTCCTCAAAAAGGGGTACCCGCAACAAAGTGGTTAATTGGGCTAGTTCGTCTATAGATTAGAAAAGTGTAAAAGCTTCGAAAACAACAAGGACCATAGACGAAGTAGGGCAACACAAGGCGCACGCAAAATAATGCGAGATATACAGGATGTTTGATTTTAATTCGAAAATACATGTATTAAACAAAATCCGTGAATGGTAGACTAATGCTGTCTGTGCAGGTGAGTTATACGGCCAGGGGGACATAATCAAGGTGTCTAATCCTCACGATAAGGCGGGTAATGAACTAAAATTTGGTAATTAACTTTTTACTTAGTGAAAACAAGCGTATGGTTTCAATTAAAACGTGCTGAACGTCATCTAAAGCTACCAAATCAGTATTTTAGGAAGATTTGAAGGACGGGGTAAGTTCCTGGGCGCTCTAAGTGTTCCCCTGGTGCAACGGGCGATATGATGATGATGATGATGATGACCGTGCGAAAACGCGGACAATAAGGTAAGAAAAAACACGTCCCGGTAGCGTTTTTGTACCGCTAGCCTTGTGCTTGCTGCACAGGTGGGAACTTTTGCGCTCCACGCCGCTCCGCGCCCGAAAACTTTCTAAAATTTACTTATATGGTGATTTTTGATCACCCTCAGTAAATTTGTGATTGGAACTTTATCTTCGTCTTCAATAATTTAAAAAAAAAGTTAACCGACATATCTCGACGATTTGGCCCCTATGTTATGTCCCCCTGGCCGTGTAGCTCACCTGCACAGACAGCATTAGGGTAGCTTTCACTATTTTTTTTTTTTTTTTACAAATCAGTGAAGCCTTAAAAATAGAACACCCTCCGTACCAAGTTCATTTCTACAGTCATGGTGCTGTAAAGCAAAGGCGAGGAACACTAGAACGCAGTACCACTTGAGACTGTCCCTCTTGTCCTTCCGCTTTCCTATCTACCTCCCATGTGTCTCATATTTTTTCCCCCGTCATGTCTCGAACCAGGCGCCCATTAAACCTAGCCGTCGACCACTAAACACTGTTTGCATCATCTTGCGTCGTCACTGTGCACTTACTTGCCTGCAATCCTCCAAGTGGTACCCATGTCTGGCAACAACTAGATTGCCCTGCCTGCCGCCCTATACATTCACGAAATCAACCTCATATTACTCTTCTAACGTGTAAACCCTGTTGGCGACTCCAGCAACCAATAGGGGTCGCCACTATCGGGCAAATATGGCGGCCTAAAACAGGTCGTGCCGTGCCATATGTGGCAGCTCCACTACGCACAACGCTCGGATTTCAGCAGGCAAGCATTGGACCTTAGCCTCCTCTATACTCACAACGCCTGGCAGTTAGTCGACGGAGTCATAGAGTGCTCGGTCGCCGACTTGGAGCGCGAGGGTCTGGTAGCATAGAGCTCCAAAGAGCCATTTCTCGGGGAACCTGGACGTCAGCGCACGGCTTTTTGCAGCGGCGAGGATCCGAAACAGAGTTCTTCGCTCGGGAGAAGTGTGTTTCGGCGTCTCGCCGCAGCGGGGCGCCAGTCACGTGGCTCTCCTCTCATTCGTTGTCTGCCGCTCCACTTTTTTCTATTTCGGCGGCCGCTTCTCCTGGTGATCTACCAGGCTGTGTCAGTATATATAGGAGTCTATGATTGGACTCATTATATGGTTTGCCCGGACTTTTATTCGCTTTATACACAAAATTATTTATTTATTTATACACAAAAAATTTCGATAGCCATGACGAAAGTGTTGGAATATCTGTTATCATGTGTGCTATTATTTAATTGGTGTAGTGTTTACCGGAGTTACTGTATTGCTGCTTTCCACCAATTGTTTCTTCGGACGTTGATTTTTTTTTTTTTTTTTCGGTACGCAGGAGTGCCGCAGTCATCACGTCGCTGACTCGCCGCGTTAGGCCTAACATCGCCCGACACGACACCGCCACTGCCACCGGGTGATCGGATGCGAAACGGCAGCGACACGATGTCGAAACACCACGGGAACGCATCGGACCCGCTGACATCCACCGTGGCCGAGTAAAAGAGGGGCTTGGACCACTTCGTCCGTCCCTCTATATAGTCGTGACTGCGACATCTCGCCCTCAAAGAACTGCGACCGGTACTCGTTGGATTGACCGGTCCTTCGAGAAGAGCGCTCGCGGCGACTGCTCAGTGTCACCAGCGCCCTCTGCGCACCCACAGTGCGCACAGCGCCGCCTGGTGTCATCTAAGGTAAGCTCGCAATAATATTCGCTCGCGTTAACCTTATGGTGCCTTGGGATGCCTCTCCGACACTTGTGTCGTTTACCGCGTCCTAAAAAAGTCGAGATGACGCAACATAAATGTCATGTTTTCGCCAGCCTCGATTCCACAGAAACTTAAGCGGCCGTGAGTTGAGACTGCGCGACGACAGGGAAACTTACGCTCGCTTATATTTTTTCCCCTGGATTTCTAGCATGCCCCAACCAACAGGATCGCGACATCATCCGACAACGATACATAACGGCTTTTGCGACGTCATTTGTTGCTACTTCGGGAGCGCTTTTGATGTATACGGGCAGCTATAGGACGCTTGACACACTAGTGGCATACGCGTTCCAGTTACCGTATACAGTTCACCCTAAACCGTAAACTGCTGGGAGTACGTATGCCTAGGCACGTTTGCTAGCAGACGCGTTTATAGTCGTGGATGGAATGCGCGTTTTGTTTTCAGGCTATAGGCGGCGCCAGCTACCGCCCATTATAAAGTGTACCGCCGTTAACACCCATCCATGCATTCGCGGAAAGACCAGTCGGGCGACTGTGGGCACGCTTTGCTTAGGCTTGACTGCAGCTTGACTATCAGGTCATGTACGCGCACGAACAAGGTGACGACGCCCAGAGACATGTATACTTGCCAGCGTGTGTAGACAAGTTGTCCGCACTCTGCGGATAGCGTCACGAAAATCGGTGGTCGGGTTCACGGTTATGTAGTTCTTTTCTACGACATTAGGCGCTGTAAACAAAGATGTGCACTTAAAGTGCGTTAGTTTTTTTTTTTTCCCCCGGGGCAGTAATTTTAGCCTGTAATTATCGTCTCAGTTACTAATGGTGCAATTGTTTTGTTAGTCAGGGTACGACTCTTTTATGCATTTTTGTGTTGTCTTTAGGTACTCAGTATGATAATTGCTGTGTTGATGACGGCAGTGAAGCCACGGCTTTGGTAAAATTTAACCCCTTCTAATAACTGGTGATTATGTTGTTGTTTTTTTTTGGTTTTTTTTTTATCGAGCATGTTGTACGAATTGCACGAACACGTTCAACACGTTTATATATTCGTTACGTATACCACCCCGATGTATAGATACCACGGTTCCTGAGGCGTACGGACCGTACCATTCTATACAGTGCGCGACACTTTTAGTACGAACACGACGTCGGCGCTTTTTGTGCATTTTTGCTCAGACAGATTGACGGGCGCCATTTTATGGGAGCCATTTTATTTTAGTAATTTAACGGGTAAAACCGGCTTTCGCTTGTTCGCGCTTACAGTGTCCAGCAGTGTATTTTCATGACTTAAATATCGACTTAAAAAAAGTGGCGCACAGGAGCGCTGGCATATGCCTGCAAAATCTCTGGAAATCAGGAAGTACAACCCCATGCCGTCTGGCGTTTGTTTCTGAGTTGTACTAGCGTGTCCGTCGCCGTTCGTCAACCCCCCCCCCCCCCCCCCCTTTCTAAAAAAAAAAAATAATAATAATAAATAAATAAATAAAAATAAACGCATGTGGTTTGAATACCATCCACAGTTACTGCCAAAAAACACACCAAGAAAGGCGCGAGCACCGAATAATACATTGAAAACCGCGCAGACGCGAACGCTTACCTGGATGACTGATGGCTCCTCGCCAAAGCAGACGCGAGCCCATGGGTCGACGGGTGGATGGCATCCATGTCGGACGTCAAAGTACGCTATGTAAACACTTGCGCATTTTTCTAGAGCGTTGCATTTTATTTTAAATGTCGAGGAAACGAAGAGCTCACTTTCGAAAATTGCGCCTTTTTCTGATAGAGCTCCGTGGCGGCTTTTTCGCACTGGTGTCTGCGAGAGACAGTAAGGAGGGGCGCTGTTTGTGCAATGCCAGTTTCCCAGCAATGCTACACACGCACGAACGTCGCAAAACTGAAGAACGAACTCGGTATTGCTCTTCTCGCGGGGAAGAAAACTATCCAGATTTGCCTCTATTTCTTGACACATTGTATTAAAGTGAGAAATTTGTATTGTCCGGCGTCATTCCACAGATCACCATACACTAACAATTAAAAAAAAAAAAAATCAGTTACACCAAGAACAAACTTCTTTCCTGTTCAATTATCCATTTCTGAATGGAATTCCCTTCCTGATAACATTGTATATACAGCATTCGTTAACCATTTAGCTTCAGAGCAGCACTTGCAGCTTCCTTAAACACATAGCAAGCTCTGTATTTTTTGTTCTTGTCTCTTTATATGTTTACTGTTTTGAATTGGTTGTGTTTTATTAGCCTACTCTGATCTAAAACCCCATGGGCGCTTTAAAAAAATGATGAATGAATGTATGACTGAACGGTATACGTGGTCATAAAAGTGAGCAGTAAACGGTATGCTGAGCAGTATAAATTTTACTGTGTTTCCACCATACCTGAACTTTCGGTAACAGCATTCAAAATATAAGAGAAGGAACGGAAAAAACCGAACATGGCTTGTATCGAGCTAACAGAGTTGCACAGTGTGCATGTTTCCCCGTGAGGCCATTCCGCCATTTTGTTTAATGTATTTCGCCGGCTTGCGTAAGGGGGGGGGGGGGGGGGGGGCTATAATAGACATTTTACATAAAAACGGTACAAGCACCAATACAGACACTATCGTGTCGGCTGTTGTTCCTACCTTTTGCCCCTGTTCGCCGCGGAACAATTCATTTTGATCCGGCATGACTTTTTTTTATCGACTCGAGAGATTTGAATTATCCAACAAAAGGATTCCTAGCCGGGACTTTCGACCTCGATGCCACTCACTCAATCGAGTCTAGGGTGACTCAAAACAAGTTCTCGTCGCGTTTGTGCCGAGTCGCGTCCTTTATGCCCATCACACCCATAACGTTCCGAGTTGCGCTTCCACACAACACACCTCCTTCGTTACCGTTCCGCCTCTTTCTCCTTATTTTATTCATTTCTTCCAGAACGATATCGTGTCTTCACGCTTTTATTTCGGTTTCTATTTCTTTTCGCGACGTCTTTGCATCATATTTTTTTTTTTTCGAGCACGTGTGTGTGTGGCTCGCTTGTCTCGAAGAGACTCCAACTTGACCACCTGACCCAGATTTATTTTTTTATTTTTTTTTTCTGTCGTCCCCCCTACTCTGCTGATGCATTGTCCCTTTCCTCCTCGCCCTCTTTCTTTATTATTTTTGTTTCATTTCAGGCCGCCCGCGTCCCCCTCCTCCCTTTCCTTTTATTACCGCGATTGTTGCCCGCGCGCGTATGCGTGCAATGGTGGCCATCTTGTTCGTGCAAAAGTCTTCGTCTGCATCTGTAGGTGGTCGCCGTTCGGGGGCTCCTCCGTTCACCGCCTAAGTTGACAGTGCAGTGGAAGCTACGCGCTCGACGGGCCAATCAACGGTCTGCTCTCTCGTCGTGTGACTCCGTACTCTACGCGCAGGGGCGGGAGCGTCGAGATCATGTGACGAGAGGTTGACGTACGAGCTTGCACCGCGCTGTCAACTTGAGGGCGAGAACGAATAAGTATGGCGTCGGGACGTGGTCTGCATGCGTACTGTCGTCTGCTTGTTGCGGCAGCGGCTGCGGTAGTTCGGGTCAGCTGTGGAGAGGGTGTGATGGGAGAAGGCGATTGGCCGAAGAGTTGACCTTTGCCAAATCGTCTCGCTGTCGCCGCGTCTGCGTTTCGTGTAAGCCATACGTAGTTTTAAACCTCCTCCGCGTTTGAGCTTATTGTTGTTGTTTTTCTGCCATTACGAGGCACTACCTTCCACGACACGTTAACTTTCGCTTTCGCTGACCTGACTTTTACTTGGCGTCGCTAGGTCATTGCTGTCTTTACTTCTTTATCTTTTTTTGTGATTTTATTTGTGTATTAGGTCCTTCAAACTAAATAAAAATATAATCTTTTTTTTTTTTTCTTTGCATGTGGTGTGTCAACATTTGGAGATGCAATTGGTACACAATTCTGCATCGATTAGGAACGCTTTATCGAAGCCGTTTTTTCTTCGAATTTTCTTTTTTTAGCTGACAAGGATTTGGACTTTGGGTTCCGGTTGAAGCAGCGATGACTTCGAATGAATTGCGGCAATATCTCGGTTTATCGCGTATCGTTCAAAATACGACCTTCACCCGGTCAATTAATCCATCAATGAATCAATCATGTTTTTGCCGTGCGCCCAAACAGCTGGCGGGCCAGGGAAGATGTGCACGCGTCCATGAGGCTAGGTACCACCAGCGTTCTGTGCCGAAGGGGAGCGGTAGTAAACGCCGAGGAACAGCTCGCAAAGTGCGGTTGTCTACATGCCTCGTTTTTCTTGGGTGCATTTTAAGTAGTCACGTAGGCATTCATTAGCCGCGTGCCAATTGATCGGCCACGTCATCATTCGACGCGTCCGACGTTTGCTTTTCTCGTGGAACCATTCAAATTCAGTATCGATTGCGTTTATTTATATATTTTAATTTATCGTTGGTCGTAAATTATACTACACGGCTTGTATGACCTCACATCAGCAACCATTGCAGTGGCCTTGCTTACTGCTGAGCGTACGTTCTGGAGCAAACATTTCGCATCACCAAATTAGTTTTTCTTCTTTTTTTTTTTTTAAGGGACAAGTAGATTGATCTAAAATGACCACTGGGTAATGACGTCTCGTTCAAGCCATGGGCATACATTGCGTTAGAACCATACGGGGTGCGCCCCACACTGACAAACTGTGACAATTAGGAGTGTTCATACACTTATCGGGTCTTTTTTCAGACAAGGATGTACAGGAACCGTGTTCAGAATTTGGTAAAAAATTGATATCATATTTTTAGTGGTGTTCTATAAACCGAAGTCACAATATTTGTGTGCCTACCTATTGCTAATTTGAGCTGTGTTTTAAAAAGAAAGGAAAGTAAACGCTCGAATAAGAGTTGCAGTGTCGAGTAAATGTTCTAACATATGTAACACCCCCCTGTCTTTTGAAAAATGTGCATGTTCAAGCGTACTTGCTT